CGAATGCGGATCTGTTCGACTTTGCTCAAGCCCTTCGCGACGGCGTACTGCTGTGCCAACTGGCGAACAGACTGTACAAGGGGAGCGTCGACCTGAGGGAAGTCAGCCTGCGGCCTCAACTGTCGCAGGTTGGTCGTTTTTTGCATTATCGATTGAGGAAAATGTCACATGGTGTTTTAGAACAAATTCAAGATCTTAAACTTTTTCGTTCAGTTACGTCCTTGTTTTTGCGGACGTACGTCGGTACCCATTCGTGTTTCGTTGATCATCGAAAATTTGTACTTTTGTCGAGCGAGGTGTGTCACTCCACGAGTTCTGAGGAAGGTCGATACCTGTAGACATGCCAGCATGAACTTTATGAGCATATGCGGTGATCGTCCCGGCGTGTCTTTTTCATGTATCCATACTCAAAGGGGGCGGTATACGACGTTTTGGCCAGACCGCTGGTTGGTGTCAGCGCTTGTTCCTGCGGTCGCCGCAGCGAATGTTTATAACTAGACAGTGGTCAGTTGCATCAGTAGCGTGATTCAGTCCATCAGATGGTATATCAACTGATAGTTCTACGTGAGTGATGTACGGTGTCGTTGCCAAAACGGTGATTTCTTATTACAATTCCATTGCAATGATTATGCGATGTCAGTACTTTAGCGCACATGCTGCAGTCGCGAGTCTGAGTTTGTCTTTGGCAGATAGTCATCTGTAACAACGATTTTACTTCGCCCATCAAATTGCCTATCACTGAAATCTCTATGCAAGTAAAGTGCGAAGCCGTTGTCAAATTATGAATATGAATTATTTTCGTTTTATGATTACATCGTGGTGGGAGCGCGCGTTCGCACAAGTCAGCACATTGTGATTTGATCGGGAGTCTCGGTTAATACAATTGCAAGATCATCTGTATCAATTACTTGACTCAACCCCTCACTTTATACATCAATTGAAAACTGTTTGTGAGCAGAATAGGAAACTTTTGTCATAAGTATCAATTTCCAAGTTGGCATCCTTGTTGGAGAATTTCACTGTGACAGTTACATCAAACTTATTAAATCGATACGCGTCAAAATTAACATTAACAGTCGCGAGTTAAAATTTATGGAACTTCCAGAAGCATATTTTTGTTTCCTTCTTGACTAAATTCATCATCTTGTATCTCAATTTAAAGCTCTCTCTGAGCATAATATATAACATTTGTCAAAACACTGAACTCCTGACTTTCGTTTAATGATTGCAAGATATTGATCATGTGAGGTTATTATAATTCAACGCGCAGACTCGTAGTGCGAGTTGAATCTATGTAAGTGACTAATGCATAACAATTGTAGAACTTGTGAATTTAGAAAATTTCACGTTATTTTATGAATTCATCGCAGAGGCTGTTTCAGGTCAGGAAATTGGTGGACAGTGATTTGGCCAA